AGATATTGACAATTTATCAAACTGTAGATGTATTCTGACATTTTACATAATCCACATGAATTATGGAATTTTTGCTAATTTCTCCCTTTGCCTTCACCTTTCCACTTCTGCAATTATTAATTCTTGTTGGGTTTTGATTGCACTGACACCCTTTGCTATCTCTTTCAAGTGATCATTATTCTGATGTATACTTGAGTGTAAGAGATTCCCCCTGCCTCCATGTTGATAGGAAGGAGGCAGAATATCAGCTGAGTTAAATTCTGTCCTCACCCAACATCCACACACATGCACTTTCTAGGAGTGAGTCACTGGACAGCAATCAAGAACAGGAACGCGACTGATCTTTTTTCTTCTCTTTAGTCCAATGGCACTTAAATCATTTGTTGTTTTTATATAGCGCCCATTTATATAGCGCCCTTCATGCGGGACATTAACCCGCATGAAAGGCGCTATATAAATGCAAGCTGTTGTTGTTGCTACACTGAGATCAACCAACTCAGTATAAACTGGGTTTTAAACCTGTGACTATTAGGAAATCCTCCTTGGGTTTAGATTTATTCTATTAACATTTCATAGCATCCAGAATTTTTCACAATCTTAAATTCAGTTTTTAATTTTCAAGTCGTTTTTCTGTAAGTTATTTTAAGAACTACAGCTGACAGGCTTCAAAGTTAAAACTGAATTCAACAAATTGACAAATTCTGCACAATCTGAAATTAATTAAGTAAATAAAGTAAAATCTAGACCTGGATGGATATTTTACTTACCTGTGGCCCCTTTCACCTAACGCAAACACTGCCTTTACTCATTGAAAACAAACCATTTAACCCATATACCCATTGGGAAGTTTTAATGTTTTTAAGCACACAAAACCAGTTCAAATCCACTGGGAAAGCAGGAGCATATTGCGGAAGAGACTAATTTCAGCAGTTTACTGTTAGTTAGAGTCTCAGAAGGGGAATTGAGGTCCATATGTTTTCATTTTTTCTTTAGTTTGAGGAGGTTTGTCAAACTCTTAATGCCTTCTTTTCTTCTTCAAAGGTTTATTGAGTCTTCTGGAACCCTGCTGGCTCCTTTATGCTTTTAATTTGTGTAAGCTCTTCAACATGAAAGGAAATGGGGTCAAAGTGGGACCTGGAAAGTTCTCATATGTTATCTGAGGGGAAACTCAGAAATAAACCCTGAAGAATGTGGTGACATTCCAACCTGACCAGTGGATTGCAGCTGTTTGCCTCTAGGGAAATATAAAAATGCAGTGGGAATAGAAAGCTCACAGAATACAGTGCTGTAAATAATCTTATTGCACATGTGAGACAGTGCAACTTCATCTCAAGGATGTGTTACTATTATGCTTGCATATTTAATGCAGTGGAAATATTGTTCAATGTGATGATGTTTACCTTTTGTTGCAAGCTGCATTTCAAAAAAAACTTAACTTGATTATAACTGTAAAATTAATTTAAAGTCACTTAGATGTGATTTGGAGATGGATACCCTTAGCTATCTAACAGTTTTGATACCCCGTGTTATCTTTCACTTTTTGAAATACTTGGACAATGGATTTGTTAACTAAATGGTATTTTGCTAGCGACTGTGGGTTGTTCTTTATTAATCCTACAAAAAAGTGTTGTGTTTACTGACATTTTCTGGCTGGACCTGTGACCTAGCATTTAGAGGGAAAAGGAGAGTGCTAAGAAACCGGAAGAGTGAATGGGAACAGATTAAATAACTCACTGAAGTTCATTTCTTCAGTTCATTAAACCATCCCATCAGAAGACCTGAAATTTAAAGAAGTCTTAGCCCATGAGATAATTTTGTCCTAAAATTTAAAATCATTTAAATTGTACAAAATACTTAAATTTAACCTAAAATTGGAAGCTGTTTTCCGCAGATCTTACAAAGAGTTTGCATCCAAATTAAGACTGAATTTAAACCTTCTGATTGATCATTTTGCACAATCTTAGATTTTAGATCCCTGGAAGGTAACTGTATTTGAATAACCTCAATACCTTTGCCTTGCCTCTATTACCGTTGGGATCTAAAATTGCAGTGATTTCTAACAGGATTCCTTACTAGGCTTCTGAGTCACATATGCAGACTCCTTCCAGTAACTGGCATTTTGCTGATCTATGAGAATTTTGCTCTGAATGTAAACCACATCAGATGTCATTCCTGTGGGTCAGTGTGATCTGCTTCTTGCTGCTGAAAAAATGCCAATTTGCACCTCAGAGCCTTATTAAGGAATTAGGTAAGATTCAAACACCACTGCAAGCATTTATCATCCATCCATCAATTTTTGCTGAGCCCTGTATTCTGGCAAGAAGCTCAAACTCATTACCAACTCTTCACCCCAATACAGTGTGAGAGAGAGAGAATGGGGCAGGTGGAGGTGGGGGCTGGGAGAAAACTCTATATACTGGTAAAAGGGGAGGGAGTGCTAACCTCTCAAGGATGTTTGTGATTGAAAAACAAAAGTAATAGAAACTTTAGTGAAGCAACAGTTATATTTTCTTCAATCGACAACACAAAACAGGAAACGATTATGGAATTCCAGTGTAAAATAAGCACTTTTGTTTTTAAGGATCTAGTCAGATGCAATTAGAGGAACCGTGAAATATAAGATGTTAATCACGGGAATGAAATGCAGTGAAAAGTCAAACATCACTTACTCTTCAGACGATAGATTAGCAAAATAGCATGTTGGCAGTCACATTTATTAGCTCTGCAGTGTTCACACAAGTGGAAAGTTATTTAAGTTAACATTTCGCCAGCACAAAAACAAGTCTGTGTTTTGTTGATTAAAACAGCTAAAAATGTTAGTTTTTAAAATAAAGTGACCGCAAAGTGAATGTTCAAAACTGTTTTTTGAAAAGACGTTATGAAGTGAGTCACATTTCCAAATGTCGGTAATGTGGGCCAGAATACACTCCTCATGATTCTGAAGTGTAATTCTAAGCATACTCTATTTACCAGATATTTTTACAGCGATTCAAGATGGGAAAATTAAAATTTGGCTGAACCTTTGATTCTTATTTCTGTGACGTCCTCCCAACATGAAAGCCGCTATACAAAAGTAATTTTGTTGTTCTTGTTATTAGTCTACAATGAATCCTCGTGTTAAAACATTTTCAATCAATTCAGCATTACTCCCTTACTCCTGAGATTAGCTAAATAGGCATGGACGGCTGATCAAACTGGGACACACACCTTAATTGCTCAGTTACTCAGAATCCATTTAGTCCTTCAAGTGGGCAAAGTACAATGGGGTTAACTAGTTGATTTGAAAAGTGACAAATGTCATTGTTTAATGTGCACAAATGTAAAGTGCTGGCATCAGACCTAAGGAATCGACAGCAATAACAACTTGCATTTATATAGAGCTCTTCATGTGGGGCAGAATCTCGAAGTGCTTAGCAACCAACCAACACTGAATGGTAGATGCTTATAGGACAATTTAAAGACGCTAGTACATTAGTTTATGAAATCAGAAAGATTTGGGTGGGGTGCAAGAAGAGGGCAATGTTAATTGCAGCATGAGACTAGTCAAACTGTAGTCTTTACTGTTGTTTTATATTTCTGTCTAGACTCTGTAAAATGCTTTCTGATCCACAATTAATTAAACATAATTCATCTACCCCTAGCCCAAAGACAACATCCCCCCCTAAACCTTTGGTCACTTGGAGTATTTGAACCATTCCAATGTATATAAGATCCTATAACCTCAACCCTGTTCCATTTTGATATTTAATAAAAATAATCAATTTAATCAATTGGTCATTCACCTTCCGGTTGGCTGTGGAATATTTCTGTGTGAAAACGGACTGCTGTAACACCTACATATCAATGTTATATGTACTATTATGTAATGCCTTATCACATTATTGAGACGTTTCAAAGCACTTCACAGAATATACTGTACAGCGAATTGTCTGTATATTTTATGGACAAAACAAGACAGCCAATATTTTTACATGCGGTCTTATAGGCCACAACAGCATGATCATGTTTGCACTTGTACAGAATGCAGAGAGGAAGGGGGAATCAGCAAAGTATTTTGCATGGTCTCAATAGTTTGGGGTCTAAAAATGTAAGATGGAGAAAAGATTAAATGTAAGAGAACAGTTTTCTAGAACAGATGTGAAAATAGTTGAGGAGGAGGTAAATTCACTTCTGCAGGCTTTACACACTGCAACCCACCTGAAGAAGTGACTTTTAGCTCCCCAAAGCCACATCTGGTCCTGTTTACACTGGCAAAGTCTGTATGTTTCCAGGACCTAACCAAACACACCCACTTGTTTCATTGCTTTTGGATCAAAGCTGAACCCACACAGTTTGGATTTATTTCAAAATCTTTAATACAGTTAAAAATTGCACCTGGAGCAGTCTGCCCTGTTTCAAATTTTATTTTCCATAAATTTAGCCTAGTCTTTAGTCATGAACTTTCAGAAAGTTAAACGAATGCCCAATGTATACAGCTGAAGGCAGATTAGGAGGGAAAGCCTGATTTATATTTCCTGTGCCTGAGTCTGAGAAAGACTCTGTGGTTACACATCTAATATGTAAGAGGTTGTGAGAAATTTGGAAGGATGAGATTAAATGAGATCATAGGAGCATTATGTGAACCTCTCTCATGATCTTCATTGTACAATGGCTTGCTGCATCCCTGGAAACATCCAATCTTGGCTCTAACCAGATATTTGTCCAATTCTGTTGAAGTAGTTAGTTACCCAGAGGATTACCAATAAAGGTGCTTAAGACCAAGACACTGGAATCATTTATAAAGCAGCTTGATGTCGTGATGGTGGAATGATATGGTGAGTATTCTAGAAAAGCCGAAGGGCCTTCCTTATCTCAAATTCTCATCTAACTCTGGGATTGGCAGCAAAATCATATCAGAGAAATTCCTGGATTCAACTATTGTGCCTGTATGTATGTATGTGTGTGTGTGTGTGTTGGGTGGCAGTGGGAGGTTACTGGACTGGTTGCTGGGGTGGTCTTACCCAGTTTGGACTGTGAGCAGAGTTCTGCATCTTGTGCCAGTCTGCAATCAGTTTGTGTATTCCTGGTCCTAGGCATGATGTGACTCCTGAAATCTGCTTCTTTCCATAACCCCACATCTGCAGTACAAACATGTATAAGACAGGTGAAAATGCAATGTTTCTCATTCTATATCCACCTATCACACACACACACACACACACAGGCAAACATACATAGTCCAGTAGCTCTGAGGTGAATGAGCAACAGTCTCTCTCAATTCATGACCACAGCAGTGGTATTCACAACAACAACAGCAACAACAAGATTCCATTTTTAGAGCACCTTTCACGTCGGGAGGACGTCCCAAGGTGCTGTACAGTTGGGTCAGGACCCGAGCAAGGGGGAAATGGTCAGGGTGAGGGGAGGGAAGGGAGGGAGCGAGGAGGGGGTAGAGAGTCGAGAGGGGAGCTGAAGGCACGGTCAAAGAGAAAGGTCTTGAGACCGGCCTTGAAGGAGGAAAGGGAGGAGGCAAGGCGAAGGCACTGGGGATAGAGTTCCAGAGCCTAGGGGCTGAGAGGCTGAAGGCCCGGCCACCGAAGGTAGGGCGGTTGGGGCGGGGGATGTGGAGCAGATCGGAGCCAGAGGAACGGAGGGTACGGGCAGGTAAGTAGGGGGATAGTAGGTCGGAGAGGTGACTTGCAGCCACTGGGTGACTTGTTGTTTACTGTACCTTTAATATCAAGTTTTTGTTTTGGTTCTCCTTCTTCGCTGTCAGACAAACCATCTTCCACCCTTGGAATAACTGGAGGAACAGAAAGCTTCTCCTGGCTTTTGAGATGTAAACATGAAGTTAGCATGAGGCAGTGATGATTGTGGCTTTCCAATTCTCCATCTCTAGACTTGAAGCCTGTTATATCCACAGACACTGAATCAGAAGAACTTCTGTAATCTAAAAACATGTCTGCTCCTGGGCTGAAACTTCGAACATCCATACTCAATCTGCATCCAGATTTACTCTTTAAATCAAATGAAACATTGTTTTCACATCATCTAATTGCAGGCCTCTTGGAAAAGTTTGTGTTGTGTTTGTCAGAATTTCTGTTGAAATTTATTTTGAGGATTATTTTCATAGATTATTGGTTGTATCCCTCATTAGATTCATTTCAATAATCATGTCTTTCCTGATTCTTCACTACGATTTCCTACTAAATTCATTGCTAGAAAGCATATGTCTATTCTAGCAATAAAGCTCTGTTATTTACTTGTGAACAGATGCACAATTCACACAAACTCCTTGCTGTGTTCTCTGGAAGATGTGGCATAGCTCATACGCATACAAGTGGCAAAAACTCGTCCATCCTTAAGTAAAGTTGAGCACAGAACTGTTACTGATCCATTTGCGAAAGTTCAGTAGCCTACAAAAGCAAAAAGGAAAACAGTTAGTTGTTGACTTGTAATGTTAACACCATATAAAGAAACTACTTGAAATCTAAGCAGCAATTAGAGATCTATGACAAAGTAGGAGGCCACTCTATCCAACAACAATAATCTACATTTGTATAGCACCCATCACATCGGGAGGACGTCCCAAGGCACTGGATAGTCAGGGATTTGGACCCGGGCAGAGGGTTGGGAGCAGGGAGGGTGGCCGAATGTGCTGTCGAGGAGGAGGGTCTTGAGATGTGTTTTGAAGGAGGAAAGGGAGGGATCAAGACAAATGGACTGTGGGATGGAGTTCCAAAGGATAGGGGCAAAGAAACTCCATTCTTTTAATGCTCCTCCACTAAAGCCATCTCAATCTCAACATCTTACTCTTTTCCTGTAACTTCTAATACCATTCCAATACCATACCATGTTTTGCTAGATTCCAACAATCAGCAAATGATTTATTGATCAAAGGTCTACAGTAAAGTTTTCCTATCTAAGTTTCAACAACTCAAGAATATGGTTTCCAAGTTAAGCAGGTCTGCAGTACTCCAACGTACTGCTGGTAACAGACTAACCAGCCTGGCTCATTGGCAGATCTGGCAGAAGCAGAGCTGTCACTGGGCAAGGATTCTTCCCACTTGGCTCCTGTTAACTCTCTTAAAAGGACCGTAGCTGGAAAAGTAGCAAGAAACTTGCCAGACAGTGGCAAGCTATGTAGTTTTAGCTGGTTAAACTCCAACAGTACTCCAGTGCACACTCTGGGGTCCTCAATCCTCCACTCTAACCAACCTGTGCCTAATAATCGCTGGGATTGAGTAAACAGCGGGGAGAGAGTGTGCAATCCATGTCAGATTTAGGAATTTCCAATTTCTGGCATACATGGAACACTCAATCTGGTTTGGATTCTCTTTAAATATGGTGACCTATTCATATGTGTCAGACACCCAATTCACTGAAAAAAATAATTTAAGAATAACTTTAATAATGGTTGGGAACCCTATTGCAGTAAATTGTACTTTTAGTTACTTAAAAGCAGAGGGATTAGGGCAATACATTCTTTGTCTAGCCTTTCAATAGCTAACCTCTTCCATACTTTATTATGGACATATTTAATCTTTATTATTTTTAATTGAGAAGAATAACCAATGTATGTACTGCAAAACATCATTGGGGAGACACGTATGGTTAGTGAATGTGAAATTTAAGTGAGAAGGTTTGAAGTTAATATAGGGTGGGTGGGCCATTTTATGTGTCCTCAACCGGTTAACATACCCATACACATCCAATTATGATTTATTTCATGCAAAATAATCCTTGGGAATCCCAAACATTTCCACAAAACGATATCACACCTCAGGAATAAGTTGTATTTTTAACAGGTGGAAGATGCATAGGATGTAATTCAGAACGTTTGAGCACATTGTCTTCATAATAAAACTCAGCCCAAATGTACAAGGAGTATTGCACTGATTTGGCTCTTTGATCCTGCTTTAGGCTAACCCTCTGGAATTCCATTCAGATGCCAATCCCAGTTTCAACTCTGGGAACCAAGAGAATTCATTTGAGTCCCTGCAGCATTTACAATTTCCAGATCAATGTGCGGATTCTTTCGAAACCAAATCTCAGAAGATCTAAATTTAAGATGCAACACATTGTTATTAAGTTCTGTCTAGCATTGTTATTTTAACACGCTCACCAATCAGTGTGACCAATACTGGTCAAGTTATTTTTTTAAAAATGACTTTCACATGACCTGTGAGTTCTGGGTTTGAGCTGCAACTTGAGGCAAACACTAACCATCATAATGTTTTTTTTTTATTTGGTCAGTCAGATGTCTCACACATGCAGAAACCCATCACCATGCTTAAGAGTATTAAAACCATGTGCTGGAAAGTGAATCGCTGTATATTTATTGTAAGAAAAAAAGAATGTTTTGCTATAAGTTATCAAAAATCCCCAAATTGAATGAAAACTATCAGGTGATTTACTTTGCACTGGGTTTTTGTTCCCCACTCCTAGCATATTCTTCTCATCTGGCAATGCGTCATGAAACACACACAAGAAATATTACTGCCTGTAATCGCTCCAAAGATAATTGTTGTTCAGTGATCATAAAAGAAAACTAACTACAGCAGAATATCAAGGTACCATTCCTTCACACTGAAACTAACATGTGGGTAGAAATTCTATCAGTCAGAATTTACTCTACTAATGTAGCATTTGTTAATGTATCTGTTGACTTAGAGCACCAAGAATTTATCAATTTCTTAAAAACCTTCTTTAATTTTAAAGTTGGTTTTCTAAAAGTTGTTTTTAAGAACTATAGAAAAACTACTTCAAAGTTATGACTGAATTCAACAGTTTCCCAATTTCTGGACAGTCTGAAATGTTGTGTTAATAGACTAAATCTAGATCCAGGTGGAATTTCTTTCCATATGGGAGGTAACATTAGAAACATAGTAACAGGAGTGGGCCAATCAGCCCCTCGAGCCTGTTCTGCCATTCTATAAGATCATGGCTGATCTGTAGCTCATGTTCAATTACCCGCCCTTCCCCGATATCCCTTGAGACCTAACAAATATCTATCCACTTCAGTCACGTAAATAATATAATAATAATAATCCTTGCATTTGATATAGTACTTTTCACGTCTTCTCGACGTCTCAAAGCGCTTCACAAAATAGACTGTAAAGTGAATTAACCGTATATTTGTGGGCGAAACGCGGCAGTCAATTGCACATAGCAGTGTCCCACAAACAGTCGTGGATTGAAAATGACCAATTTTTTATTGTTTTGTTTTTTGGAGGGATTATTATTAGGCTCTATGTGGAGTAAGGAAACTTGCCCAAGATTTCACCCTGCCTGGAATTGAACCCAGGTGTCTCACTTGCAAAACGAGTGCTCTAACCACTGAGCTACAGGACTCCACACTCCGCACAATGTGAATGGATCCAACATCCACAGCCTTTTGGGGGAGAGAGTTCCAGGTTTCCACTACCATTTGGGTGAAAAACTGCCCCTGATTTCACTCTAAATGGCCTAGCTCTAATTTTTAGATTATGCCCTGTTCTGGATTCCCCTACCAGAGGAATCAGTTTCTCTGTATCTAGCCTATTGATTCCCTTTATTATTTTAAAAACGTCAATCAGAGGTTTTTCACCCTCAAATTACATTCACCCTCAAATTACAGCCACTACACTTTACAGCAAATTTTGTCAAGCGCCTTGAGATGTTTCGACTATGCGATAAGATGCTAAATGTGAGAATAATTATCATTAATATAAGGTGGACAATATTGGCAACTTTTGAATAGCTAGGCCTGAGTCCCTGAAAAAGCTAAGAACATCTGGCACAAAATCACCTCTTCAGCAGCACCACATGTTGGGATAGTCCAGGCAATTCATGGCGCACCAGATGGCAGACCTTTCCCAGGCACATTTAGCTTATACATTATTTATGAAATACTTATAATATGCAATAATGAACATTATGAACATTGTAGATTGAATAGAGCATAATTAAGAACTGCAATCTAGCACACACTGATCCACCAAACAAATTGAGCACTCGGCTGTTTATTAATCTGGCTGGCAATGAATTTCAAAATGACTGTCACCCCCAGGTTCACCTCCAGAATCTGTGTTGCTGATCCACGCTACCACTAGGGCTGCTATCTGAGTAATCTCATTCAGAGGCCACATGATGTGTTGTGTATCTGCTGAAGCGAATGAAGGAGATATCCCTTAAAAGGCAAGTGGAAGATTTGATGATTTCTTTCCACAAATTCCCCCCAGCCCCAGTCTCAGCCTCAGCACAATGGTTGTGCTTGAGGAAATCTCACCGCTGAAATATGTCTCTCTGAGAAACTACTGACTGAATAAAGTCAGTGACTGTGAAGTAGTACTCAAGTGCTAACTGCATTACAATATATAACATTCTGGTTGGCTTGATGTCCAAAAGTTCAAGATCTTTGGGTAAAAAGACTGATCTGAAAGAGGATGGCAATAAGAAGCAAACAGGAATAATAATAATAATAATGCTTGTATTTGATATGGCATGTTTCATGTCAGGAGCATGAAGAAATTACTGACATTTCATAATGATGTCAATATAATAATCACATTTGAAGTATTATGAAACAATGCTAATCTCTCCCGTGTTTTGGGAAAGTTCACATTTAGAATGGTCCGGCCAATCATTTTAGAAAAGTTGCCAAGATGTGTCAAAACGATAAAAAAAACTCAATAACATTTTAATTTACATGACATAAGCAATAAAGATACTAATATTTTTCAATGTACCTGAACTTCAGAGCAAAGTAACCAGTGAAAAAGGAATAGTGTTTGCATATTTCCATGGGTGGAGAGGAAATTAGGTTTTTCGTTTTGCATGGAAATCATTGAGTAATGTTTAACTACAGGTGATCTAGCATCAGGTACCTTACCAACAGCTTTGAGAGTCATAAACAAGCATGCATGAATATTACGTTGACACATTTTCTTGCCTAGCAACAAGGAAGAAACATCAACAATTAATTCTCACGCTGAGGACATGGTTCATATCCTTGATTGATTCATAGCTGAATTTACCCAGTGACTGTATATCAGGTGATTGTGTGTTCAATCTCCTTTGATACTCTGACAAAAGCCAAGGATCATCCTGAGTGCAAGGCTATTCTGAAAAGTTATTGGCTTATGCACACTTTTCAGCATGAGGCATATTGTAGCAATCAAGAGCTAGAACCGGAGTCCAAGTTATTAAGTTTAATTGTAACCTACTAGTACCCCGGCTCCATGAGGTAATAATAATAATTAATAACAATAATCCTTATATTTTATATGGTGGCTTCTCACATTGTCGAGACTTCTCAAAGCGCTTCACAGGATATAGTGTAAAGTGGTTTGACTGTATATATTGGGGACGAACAAAGTGATTATTACATCCTTAACAACTCTTTTCACTAGCACAAATTTTCCTGTACTCATTTTAATTTAAATGCAAAATAATTAAGCAACTAAACAGATTCTGTGATCACAACTTTTACAATTTAGAGCAGAAAACTGAAGAGACAATGTCTACAGTTAACTACAGGGTAAAATGTAAGCACAATATACATTTACATTTCGAGTTTTTCTTTCTAAAAGCAGTCATGATAAGTGGTGTCTCCTCTAAAATCTCAAGCCTATGATTTAAACCAATAATTACTATTGCGATGTCAGCATAACAAAAATAAACAAAAAAGTATAGAAATCTAAGTCGATTCTTTTCTTAATTATTTACTTTTTCTTATCTTAGGACAGCTAAAATTGATGTGAAAAATAGCTCTTTCCTACCTTCATACTCAGCCTTTCAATTGGCTAATCCAAGGTCATTATTCAGCCTTATGAAAGTGGCCATTTCATAACACTTTGGACATTTTTTGAACCCAGTCCTTTTCTGCACATACAGGTTTACCAAGTGAGGCTGCAAAGCATGTGGTATAAAGTAATACTGTACCATTGTTTGCCTGTTCCAGTGGCTTGTTCATTAAAGTTTGATGGGCAACACAGAGGGGCAGGAGATTGCAGAATGATTTAGTTGTGTAGGAGTAGTGTTCAAATATTCCTTATCTTAATATGGCAGCCTGTAAAGAAAACTATTTAGTGGACTATGGGCCACCTTAAGAGCTCAACTGAGTATTGTCAGGAGAGCTTTAAAAAGTATGGAGCACGATGCCATGGAGACACTTTGTTTAGAGTCGCAGCCTGGCAAGATTGGGTAATGACATTATAAAAGAAGAATCTCATTACAAATCTGCATGTTCTGAAACTGTGTTGCACTGCAATTTGATTTACTCCTCACATTTCCTTTAGTGTAGAAATATAAAAGTAGTTTTAACCAACCCCCCGCCCCCCATATTATTCAGTGAACATTTTAAAATGAATAATAACTTGCATGATTTATTCCCTTGAGGACTAAACATCTATTTGCAGTTAGTATAACTATGCTGTGGTAAATCTCAATATAATATTACATTTCTCCTTCTGTCAGTAAACTTACTGACTTTGGGTACTTCTAAAAATAATAACTAATAACTAAAGTATTTCCAATGGAGGTGAAAGGAATGTAAGAATACATTGACAGAAGTGATATGTGTAGCTTATGGCAAGTGGAGAATAATATTTGAATGTAATTGTTGAGATCCTAATAGGCAACATAATCTGTCAGATCATTAAGGGCCTGTAATGGCATGTCTGTCAATAACCTCCTAATCTACATTGTTCATGGCCTCATCAAGTTCTGGATAAGCTTTTATTTCTCATACTCAATGTCATCAAAATTGAGGTTATTCTGCTCGGTTTCCTCCAGCATCTCCTCACTCAGCCGATGACTGTTGCTCACTCCAGCTCAAGAACCTCAGTGTTTTGTTCAACCATCAACATCTCTTCAAACCTTTCATCTGGGTTTCTCCCCATTTCTGTAACATTGCAACCTCCATTACTATATCACACCCAACCTGCGCCTAAATGCTTTCTGTAATTAGGTAAGCAGGATGCGTTCCTCCAGGGAGAGAGTGGACATAACAGTCCGTGTATAAAATGTCCATCCTTAGGTGGGATCCATGAATTCTCAGTTTGCTTTGAAGCCTCTTAAGCCTGGTGGTGGGTGTCCAATTGTGTCAGATACCCTGTTGACAAAAAAACAAAGTAGCTGGAACTCTCATCCTTGCCTTTGCCACTTCTGGACTTAACAACAACAACAACAAAATTAAATTTATAGAGCGCCTTTCACGTTGGGAGGATGTCTCAGAGCGCTGAACAGTCAGGTATCGTGGCCCGAGCATGGGGGAGGGGTAATGTAGGGTTGAGGGAAGGCAGAGAGGTGGGAAGGAGACCAAAGGCACGGTCAAAGAGAAGGGTCTTGAGACCGGACTTGAAGGAGGCAAGGGAGGAAGCGAGGTGAAAGGACCATGGGATGGAGTTCCAAAGTATGGGGGCAGAGAGGTTGAAAGCCCGACCACCGATGGTCGGGAGGGAGACATGGAGCAGGCTGGAGCCCGATGAATGGAGGGAGCGGGCAGGTTGGTAAGGAGTCAGCAGGTCAGAGCGGTAGGAGGGGGCAAGGCCATTGGATGGTCTTAAAGGTGAAGATCCTCTGGGGATGGGGAGCCAGTGGAGTCGGGCGAGGATGGGAGTGATGGGGTCGCGGAGCCTGGTGCGTGAGAGTAGACGAGCTGCAGAGTTTTGGATGATCTGCAGCTTGTGAAGGGAAGAGTTGGGAAAGCCGATGAGGGAGTTCCCGTAATCGAGCCTTGAGGTGACGAATGCGTGGGTGAGGGTTTTGACAGCCTGAGGGGTGAGGGAGTGGCGGAGTCTGGCAATATTGCGGAGGTGGTGGTAGGCAATGCCGGTCATGGTGCGGATCTGGGGAACTTCTCCAATGCCCTGCTCAATGGCTTCCCCAGCTCCACTCTCCACAAACTCCAAATGATCCAAAAGGCCACATCTTCTCTCCTAAATCAAGCACTGCAGGCCCATCTCCCCCACCCCCATCACTTGGCTCCACTGCCTTTCTATCTGCCAGCGAAACAACTTTAAGATCCTGTCATCACCCTCAAATGGCTTCAAAGTCTTGCCTCAACCCACCTCTATGATCTCCTTCAATCCTACTCCCTCCCCCCCCCCCCCATCATCTGTGCTGAGTCTCTGATTAGCAATGATGAGGCTGAGGTATGTTGCTCAGGTTTGCTCGAGCACCTCAATAGCAACTTGAAGTGCACTGCAGAATTCTCGGCCCACAAAAAATCTGTTTGTCAATCTTGATTTCCCTTTCTACAATCCCAGCTGGCAAAGTATTATCCCAACCTTATCCCTTATCCATATAGAAATACTGTAGTAAGTCAAACAATGATGTTAAGACGTCAAGTGACGTCAAGTGACGAACACAAAGATAAGAGTTCAACAGGCTGAAAATTCAAGTTATTGTATAAGTAAACCACATCGATAGGTAGCCATTCTCAATTCCCTTTCTGACTTGAATAATGTTAAACTAATGGAGCAGCACATCCCAAACACAGTCTCTTTGCACTGAGCTCTGAGCAATCATTCAAGTGAATACTCACATTGAGCACCAGATTGCCTTGACATCATCTTGAATCAGTTGAGCGTGCTCGCAGGAAGTAAAACTGTCCCAGAAATCTGGAAAACATTAAAGTAAGAGAAACCCAAAGCAAAGCACTTTCTACATCAGGACTGGGCAGCCTTGAGTGAGTACAGAGCAGTGCTCAGAATATCAGAATAAAATGGTGGCTCTCTGTGGTTTTGATATGTTGGCACCTTGGCAGTCCACAAAGTCCCCATAGCAACATGCTCACCAATCCATCGGGGTACAAGAGCTAGTCAGCTGCTCTACTCATGCTCAGAATAGAAATTAGTGCTGCTGATGCAAAGAATTTCTTAAGGCGAAACCTTAGACAAGTTTTCCTACTCTACACCCCTACTTATCTAGTAGTAAGTAGGAACCCAATTATTGATCATTTGGTGGATCATTTGGGGGTAATAATCTGTTCCCCCCCAAATAAAAATAATAATTTGGTCACTCAATCCACAACTGTTTGTGGGACACTGCTGTGTGCAATTGGCTGCCACGTTGTGTCCATAAAATGCACAGTCAATCCACTTTATAATATATTCTGTGAAGCTCTTTGAGACGTCTCAACAAAGTGATAAGGCCCTCTATCAAATGCAAACATTATAAGAATCATTATTATGTATCTATCAGTACAGCAATTTAAGTCTGTATCTACCAGTACAGTAAAACAAAAAGGTTTTGTTATAAGGTTGTGGATTCAGATCCTTTGCAAATTAATTTTATTTGAATTCATTTCCTTTGCAAATCCAGGTTCTCAACATTGCGTTTCCAAATCTAGCGATCTCTAAGCCACCAGCTGTTAAGTAACATCAGTAAACAAATGAACTGAATTGAGCCCAGGTCCTCTCATTTGCGAGGCGAGTGTCCTAATCACTATACTATGGGACTCCACACTGGGAATGACTGGAGCTATTGGAGATATTGGCTGACACTTGGGTGTGGTAATGTCTTTTCAAGCCTGGAGTGTCCTTTCCCATTAAACAGCACCAAAGAAGCTGAAGGGCTTTACTCCCTACAGCATAAAGGCAGTCTTTGTGACTAGAAGAATTCATTACTGAAACTGTGGCCATCCTCACATCAGCCTATCAGTAATTGGCAATAACTGGGGTCGGTTGTGTTCATATTACAGATAGTTATATATCTAGGATGGGAATAATACCTTGGATTTGAATGTGGAAAACAATAATGAAAAGGGTCGTGGTAAAACATTGCTGGATGCAAGAGGATTGTTTGAGGGAAAATAATAATATATATATTAAGTTCTACTTACATCAGTACAAGTAGCATTATAATTGTATGTTATATATTCTATTGTACACAGAACAAATAAGCTGTCTGAAAAAGTATATGCACAATATGCCTTTTAGCTTGTAAATTGCTTTTGTCCAGTTTGGTTATGATTATTCACCCACTATATTTAGTTGCAGACTGCGAGCACAAAACGACAGGATTGTGCTTGTAAATTGCTATAATTAAGTAGTTGGTTTTCAGAATTTTCATGTGAATGAGGGTATAAACTATTAATTAAACGAACCCACTGGCTATTGAATTATATTGGAAAGAAGTTGGCAAACAGTTTCACGTCACTGAAAAATGTAATTGTTTTGAGATTGTAAACAGATTTTAAATATACACTGGACAAAGCTAACAATTCACTCACAACTCATACTGTATAGCACATACATTAGTTAATATGTGTCAATACTTGTACACTTACTCTATAAACTGGGTGAATTGTGTGCTCTCAATAGCACACAATAGAGAATAGAGAAGCTGTTTCGAGCAGCTCACTCCTGAGTTAGATCTTCCTCATTGAGAGATGAATGTTCAACCGTTTCTACAACATTCAATGTTCCCAGACCAGATTTGCTATTCCAGCCTTTGGTTCATGAATATCACAAGCCATTTAATTTGGAAGATCTGCAAACTGTTAGTTCCAAATGCCGAAATCCAAAGAGAGTTGGAGAACAATTGATCAATTGTGTAATTGTGTATTTTGAAGGTGAACATGATAGCCAATTTGAGCACACCAATGATATAAACAAAGTAAACTGGAACAATACATCAAGGCATTAGATCAATAGGATTTATGTTCATGACTGAATGAGAATCAGGAAGGATTTATTTACAAAGTAGGTAATCAATAGGTGAAATGGATTACCAGGAAGGGTGGTTGAGATTAGGCCACTGAGCTATTTTAAGGAGCAGTTTGATGATATAATACAAAGACTGAAGGGTTGATATTCTTGCCTGATGAAATCAAATGGGTCAAAGAATTTTCTTCATACCGATCTCTTGTGTCATTATGTACCTACTCATCTCTGAGCAGTAAAGTGATAATACCATTGTGGATGGTAATGTGTACAAAGAAGAACAGAAATAATTGTGGTATTTCTTAATCTATTGCTTAACACTAACTAACACAGGGAAAGGATTAAGGAGTACCCATACACTTGTTCCTAATTCCTTAATTAGCTCCATCCTTGGTAATTAAAACTTACTTGTATTCAATGTGTTGGTCCCAATGTCCTACAACTGCTTCTCTTGTAAAGCAACAGGAAAGCAATTTTATGAGTTGTTTTCCTGGTATAGGTCAGGAACTGTGTTGCAAGTGTATATTAGGAGTTTTAACTTGGGATTCCTTTAGCACGAGTTAAAATTCCTTACACTGTGTATGGTCTTACAACCATGTTCTGTGAGCGGGTTGCTGACAGGGAAATGTAGCTGCAGGGAAAGAGAGGCAAGGAGCTAAATGCAGGACATTGGTTAATTAGTAAGAATGGTATTAATGAAGAAATAGGAAGAAATTAGCAATGTTCCTTAACACATTCCTTGTATGAATTAAGGAACGTGTTATGGAATACTGCAAAATTTGCCCCAATATTTCCTTCTTTCTTTCATCAGTGCACAAACTAACACTGATGTGCTGGAAAGAAAGCAGGATTATTAACAATACAAGTTCTTCAGTGAAACTATTCCATTCAACTCGTGAATAAATCCACTGCTGGCAAATCCTTATTGTACTGTTGTGTTACATACCGATGCCTTTCTGTGCAAGTGTTTGCAGACCATCTGCAATGAGTGAGGCAGATGTCTGTATAAAAGTACAGGAATTATTTATTGATTGTGTAATGTTTTTGGTTTAGCTGACTTATCTACAGAGCGGTGACATCCATCAGTAGCTGGTTCTGTTGCCTTGTGACTCTAAATTGCAAAAACATTATTGTGTGCTCCGTCATGTATTTAGCAAGCTTCCAAAAGGTGATGGAATCCTTTCCAGTGTTGCTGTTGCTTAATCCTGACCACCAATGACGGGGTGTCTGCTTTTGTCCTTAATGTTGCTTGCTCAGCTGGTATAAAATCAGCTATTTAGTTGAATACAGGAGAAGTAAACATCAATACAAATTTATCCAAAATTTACCAGTGATTATAATCTGGATTTTTAATGGTGTTTTCTAATCAGAGTGATCTCTACCGAATAAATTGCTCTCAAGATTTTAAGAGACATTCAGATGAAGAAGGTCCTTGTCCCATTTGATCTTAACTTTTTAAACTACCAACCCCAACACAGTCACTCCACTTTACAGTATATCCTGTGAAGTGTTTTAGGACATCATCCTGATGGGAAAGCACTATGCAAAATGTAAGCATTATTATTAATAATCCTACCCTCTGCATATTACAGATTCAAGTTGTTTCTTAAATGAGTGCAGTGCCCTGTTGCTAAACATCGTACCTGTGCTTGATTGTTCTGGCAGCATCTCACATTTATCTGTGTGGAACTTCAATTGGCAGTAATTAGCCCAGGTCTTCTTACATATTCTCTTTGCAAGGTCTTGGCTGCCTTCTTTAACTAAACAATTTCCCTAGGTGTCAAGCTGTCAAGCACTTTACTAGGTGTCATCCATAAATGTAGCTACCTTTGCCCTGAGTCTGCTCAGACTCACTCTCTAAGCTGCAACTTTTAGAAAATATAGAACATGATATGATAGCAAGAGAACGAACAATGAGTGTATGAGATTTTTCAGCACAGTATAGTTTCCCTTCAAGAGTGGTAGTCTATTCTTGTTTTCCAGGAAAGTCTCCTGTGGTGTAATGTTTCCTCTAAGAGTCTAGCACTTCTACCAGATGTGTGTGTACAGGGTCTTTATTCCTTTGTTTTGGGTTGGATTCTGTATCTCCCTGGATACACATTGGCTGCCAGGATTTTAAATGTAGCTGTGTCATATGACAGGAAAGGGATATTTTACATGAAGTAAGACCTTAATGCTGATAGAAAAAATATTTACTCGTGAAAAATATCTGTACACATTTTACAGTGCAGTAAATAGTAGATGGGTTTTGCCCAGAAAATATACAGTATTTTCTGTGAAGTGCTTTGAGACGTCTCGAAGACGTGATAAGGCGTTATATCAAATGCAAGTATTATTATTGACTTTATTCAACAGTCTCATTCAGGGGAATGAATGTAGTTTTACGCAGTTAACCTTTGAACCCCTCCAATCCAGCTTCCGCGCTCTCCACAGCACGGAAACAGCCCTGGTCAAAGTCACTAATGACATTCTGAAATTCGGTGATCAGGGCTCCTTCTGCCTCCTTGTCCTCCTCGACCTCTCTGTCGCCTTCGATACTGTCAACCACTCCATCCTCATACACCGCCTCTCCGCTTTACTCAATCTTCACAGACCTGCCCTTGCCTGGTTTGATTTCTATCTCTCTCACCGTCTCCACTTTGTTGCCTCTAACAGTTTCTCCTCCAGCCCCGCACTGTCACATCTGCCGTCCCCCTGTCCTTGGCCCTCTCCTCTTTAATATCTACATGCTCCCCTTTGGTGACATCATCCGCAGACATGGGGTCAACTTCCATATGTATGCGGATGACACCCAACTCTATCTTTCTGCCTCCACCCTCAACTCCAGGACCACCGCTGTCCTGACAGACTGCCTGTCGGACATCAAGTCCTGGATGAGGGCAAATTTCCTACAGT